CAGCTGTCCCAACACACTGAGACAGCTAGGCACACCCAACTCTCGAAGGTTTCCTAGAAACTGGAACAAGAACAGGGAATTTTGGGAGATAGGGAGTTGTGATCAGGGATATAGGGATACCAAATGAAGGAAAACAACCTCCTCTTGCTTTTTTGTTTCTCGTTGTCTAAATTATAATTTACGTATTTGTATTTTTTTATATATCTGAAACAGGATATAATTTTGCAGCTAAAATAGAAGTACTGGGAGAAAAAATCTGAAGGGCAAAACAAGTTACTTGCTCTCTTGGTTTCTGTGGCTGGTGCTTCTGCTGGAATTCTTTTCCTTCACATCATTTGGGCCTCTCTTAGATGCAGTGTTAAAGTTGCCGAGTCACCAGACTTGCAGAGGTGCTGTTGAGTCCCACTGTCCTGTCCTCAGAGCAACCCCTGGAATTATCAGGTGCTCTCCTCTTGGGGAAACTGCAGCAGCAGAGGCCAGACACAAACAAGCTTCTATCAGGATAGGGCTTTGTTCTGCAAGTCAACTTTTGGTCTTTGGGAAGAAACCGTATGTTGGAGAGAGCAGTATGCCCTCTCCACTTTGCTGTTGCCAAAGGGATGTGCTCAGTGCCTGGCATCTGAAATGACACTTTGAGAGGACACGAGCTTGCATCAGTGATTGCGGCCTTATTAACAGGTCTGTGTGTCCACCCTGAAGACATTAGCTGCTTGCAGATGGGATGTTCCAGTCTCTACCTAGCAGTGTTTGGAACTAGCATTGCCCCAGCATGCCCTACGTCTTTGTGTCCAAGTTCTGCTGTCTTACCTGTCATTGGTTATATGCATAGTGTTTTATTTGTAGTATTACTTTTTTCAGTAAAGTGAATGCATGTATAGTTAGTTATTTTTAGTTTCTTGGCGTTTACCTAGTTTCTGTGCTATGTGACCACCATCTCTGTCTAAACGTTTTCATCACTGCTGGAGAAACTCTCTATCCATCGGGCAGCTGTTTGGTCCTCTTCTGCTTTCCACAAGCATTCACTCACTGAGCTATAATCAATGTCCCTCTGTGGGTTGATTTTTCTTCCTAATGTTTCATGTAACTAGAATCACAGACAGCATGACAGTGGTGACTTGAGTGTTTCTGAGGTTCACCCACCAGTTGCGTGTCAGTGCTGTATTGCCTTTTATAGATGATAGTATTGCGTTGTTTGCACACCATACGTTTTGCTGGCCTGTTCATCTCCTGGCCCATACTTTGGTTGTGTTTCTTGTGAACAGTGCTACTGTGAACATGCCCATGCAGGTAGTGATTTGAGTACCTGCTGTAGTACCTTTGGGGTATATAATCGGTAGGGGAATTCATAAACATGTTAGCTAGCTCTGGCTGCCTTGGACCGCACTGTGTAAGCCAAGTTAGCTTCCCATAGACATCAGCTCATAAGACAGTTTTGTGCTTCACTTTGTGAGGATGTACAGCTTCCAGCTCTCACTTTGAATTCTCCCCAGCAATATACAAAGTTCAGTTCCTCTGTTTTCATATCAACACACATATTCTCCACCCCATCCACGTTAACAAAGCTGCCCTGCTGGGCATCAGGAGGCTGTTTGCTGCGGTTTGATCCAAACCCTCCTAACTGACTATGCTGAGCCTTTTCCAAGTGCTGCTTGTGACTCTTGGGATTCTTCTGAGAAATGTCTATTCAGTTCCTCCTCCCATCTTTAAGTTAGCTATTGTATTTTTTCTTTTTTGTTGATGTGTAAGAATTCTTTATATTCTAGATAGAAATCTATTCTCAAATGGGATTTGTATTTTGCCATTATACAGTTTTTATTTTCTTGGTAGTGACTTTAATGCATAAAGGTTTTAATTTTGACTGAGTTCCGTTTTTCCTCTGTGCCTTGTGCTTGTGGCATTGTGCCTGACTCACTTATGGTGTCTCAAAGACTAGGTCTGATTTTCTTCCATGAAAATTAGATCCATGACTTAATAGTCAATGAATATATTTAGTTCTGTGATCAGTTTTGAATTAATCATTACATATGATCTCAAATGGAAGCCCAAGTTCTTTCTTTTTGTCTCTTTGGGATCCGTAGCTTGTTTTCTTTTGAGACCGTCATGCTAGGTAGGTGTGCTTGGCCAGTAACTCCCTGTGTAAATCAGGGTGGTCTCAAGCTCACAAGCAGTCCAGTCATCCTACCTATGCTTCATACACGCTGGATTAGAGGAATTAGCATGCCTAGGTGTATGTATGATATTTAAACTTTTTTACATTTAAATTTTGGGATTTTTTTTTGAATTAGCATGCAAAGTAGCAGTTTTTATCATACTTCGGCTGGTTGTTAGTCAGGATTCCCTAGAGGAACAGAACGTATAGAATGACTCTAGATAGAGAAAGGGAGTTCATTAGAATAACTTAGAGGCTGCGGTTCAGCTAACCCAGCAATGGCTGACTATGGATGGGAAGTCCACAAATCCAGTGTTGCTCAGTCCATGACCTGGCTAGCTCAGCTGGTCTTCGTATGTGCTGTAATCCCGAAGAGATATTTGCTCGTTCTGATCTTGCTACATTTGCAGGTATTAATGCATTCAGTTTTTAATCCTGCCCTTATGAAGTAGCCGTTCTTATTTTCACTTAACAACTGTTAAGAAGTGAGGCTCAGAGAGGCTGAATGAGCTCACTGTTCAAGGACACAGGTCCGAAACTGGGGGAGCTCATGTTCCTGGAACCTGCTCTGTGGAACCATGTGCATTCATCTTTGGATTTCAAAGGTAGTACGATTCTTTTTAAATGAATCAATTCAAATATGGATTCAAAGAAATGCCTTATATCTTGATGGCTGTGTTAAAAATGTGGAGGTTGGTGAGGAAGATGAACTTGGAAACCAACACCCTTAGGGGTTACCATATAAGTTTAATTCTACTTAAAAATAAAATGGTGACATCCATAGTTTTGGTAAGGCCGGGCATAGTGGAAATCAAACTCGGGGTTTTGAAAATGCTCCACCACTGACTTGTGGTGCACATCACCCTCTTTTTGGTTTTGGTCACAGACACTCACGAGACCACCGGGTTTGTGAGTATAGAGCTCCTCGGAGTTCAGTGACATGAGGTGTTGTCCATGAACTTACAGTGAGCACTCATTTGGGAGTGTCTGTGTTGTCCTTCACCCTTTCTCCCCTTCTGCTGCTTCCCCTGAGCTTGGAGACCTGCTCGTGCTCTTTCGACCCCGCTTCCCCACCCTCCGCCCCGCCCACCCTCCGCCCCGCCCACCCTCCGCCCCGCCCGTCCTCTCCTGGGATGGCTGCAGCACTGTGCTGTGAAAGGCGCATATGCTGTCTTGTAAATGCAGTGATTGGGTGGCAGGGTGGTCTCCATTTGCCAAGTAAAGTGGCGTATTTCTCCTGGGTTTTGTTCCAGCTCTGCAGTTGTCACTGCCAGCAGCTCAACACCCACCAGGAGAAAGCGAATAAACAGCACAGTGCTTGGAGCCAGGAAGTCTCATCTCACAGTGAAACACATAGGTTTCGGGGGAGCCAGGAAGTCGCATCTCACAGTGAAACACATAGGTTTGGGGGGAGCCAGGAAGTCGCATCTCCTAGTGAAACACATAGGTTTGGGGGGAGCCAGGAAGTCGCATCTCCTAGTGAAACACATAGGTTTTGGGGGGGGGGGGGGGGGAGAGTTGCTAACTCCATAGGAGAGCTAGCTATGGACGGGAAGTTCTAAGGTTCCCTCACTTGGGAAATTGTTGGATTGTAGGTTCCTTGTAAGGAAGTCAAGTTGTTTTTGGTGTATGGCAGTTTTTCTGTGATGAAACATTAACCCAAACTATGTTTTAGGTAACTGTTAACCTTGCCATCCATTAGATTGCCTACTCATGTGATTAGGATTCGTTGGTAGATTGCTTGGGTAGCATGCACAAAACCCTGGTAGGATCCCCAGTATTGCCTAAAACTGGGCGTAGTGGGAGTTCCAGACCAGCCTGGACTACATGAGACCCTGTCTCTAAAACAACAGTTGCAGGGAAGAGGAGATGACAGCTACAGCAACAACAACAACAAAGCATTCATTGAATTAGCTCCTGTCAGTTTAATGTTTTACTATGCAAAATAGAAATTTATTCAGCATGAAAAATCTTAATGCTACTTAATTTTAAAATATGATCTATTTTTCTCCATACTTAATGAAAGACAGACCAAAACAGTTGCTTGATTTTTTTTAATGATATTAAGGATTAAAACTAGGATCTTATATAGATTAATATAGATTAAACAAGCGTTCTACTACTGAACCATACTCCAAGCCCTTTAAAAAAAACCCAACTTTTTTTTCAATTATTTATTTATTTATTAAAGATTTCTGATTCTTCCCCACCACAACTTTTTATTTTGAAGTAGGGTTTTATGAAGTTGTCCAGGCAGGCTTTGAACATGTGATTTGTCCTGCCATAGCAGCTCAACTAGCTGGGATTGTAGGACTCTACTACCAGGCCCAGTAGGTTTTGGAGTATTTTAAAGATGTTATATCTTTCATATTAATGATATTTTATAATAAATTATTGAAAAAAATCACATAAAATCTTAAATCCAATGCTTATAAGAGCTTTTGAACCAAAAAACATTCACTTCAAAAATGTGTTCATGTATTAGTTACAATACACTTTTATAAAAAGTAGAGTTGGCGTTTGTTAGGAGGAGATTTAAATTATTCCCCTGTGTCTTAAAGTCAAGAGGAGAAAGCTTTGGTTCCATCCTGTTAGGCTGGCTTTGACAGAACAGTTTTGGTTTATGGAATCTGTGGCCTGTAGGGATTGTTAAACATTAATAGAGATGGTTGTAACTTTCTTGTTTGTTGCTCTTTTTGTATATGTTTTGTTTGTTTCCTTGACTTGTACAGCCAGGAAATTACTTCAGCCATGGTTTCAAGTAGTTATGGCATGTTACAGACCCGAGGGTGACGTTGGACGGTGTGTTGTTCCTCTTCACCTATTAATGTTTTGCTCTTATAACTTCCAGGCCCCGCTGAAGTTCCCATGATGTCGCCCAATGGGTCCATCCCTCCCATCCATGTGCCTCCAGGTTATATCTCACAGGTATGGCAGTTGACTGGCATCTCCCTCACTGGTATACTATTGTTTTTCCAGCAAAATACATCTCAAGACTTAAGAAACATCCTTCATGAGTTAATTTAGTTATGCTGACAAAAGAATCGTGTCCTTGTTTGCTTTCTGTTGCTGCGCTAAAAACACTACCAAACCAACTTGGGGAGAAAAGAGGTTTATTTTAGCCTACAAATTACAGTTCTTCATGGAGGGGAAGCCAAGGCAGGAACTTCAGGAAGCAACTAAGCAGAATCATGAATGCATCCTACTAACTGTCTTGCTCCCAGACCCACAATTCAGCTGTCTCTCTTCTGCATCCCCTGCCTCCCTGCTTAGGGGATGGTACCTCCCACAGTGCACTGGGCCCTCCTACATCACTCACTAATCAGAAATTGTCCCACAGACCTGTCATCGGCCATTTGACAGAGGCAATTCTGCTTAGATTTAGTTGACAAGAAATGTATGTAACCAGGAGAGACTGCTGTTTTTTAGGGCACTGTTGACACTTCCCACGTCTTGCAACCTGAGGTACCAGAGTCAGAAGAAATCAGAAGGAGCCGTAGGCTGCCTACATATAAGTTCAGTTACACGCCCAATGTCTGTATGACATTCCTCTGTCTGTGGAACTTTCTGTTTTAGGATTTTCCTCCCATCTGTCCTATGACTCAAATGCCCAGGTTGAACTCACCATGTGGCCGAGGATAGCTTTGAGCTCCTAGTCCCC